TCAGTTGTTGATGTTTGATATCTTGGTTTTCATGGCATGATGATTGTATGAGAGACATTTTTGAGATTATTGCCATGCTGTTTTGTTGCTTTAATTCATAGAATCAAATTCACATATTTTGCCACAAGCAATTTAAATACACCAAGCCACAAATTTCTTCATTTTACTGCACACATTTCTTTCCTCTTCTCTGTTTGATTTGCTTTAGGTTAGCTCATAAGCATATGGGCCTCTAGACAGTGTGTTTTACGTGTGTATGAACCCAACCTCTTCGTGTATACTATGCTTGTTCTGCTTAACAGCCCCACTCATCATGTATGATACAATTGCCACTTGATAGTTATGTGCATTTCATGATCAACTCAAGGTTTAGACTCATTCATAATCACATCGTGAGCTTCCAAACTGCTGTCAACTAAAGGCCATATCAGCATGAACATACTTTTGCATAAGCTGTTTCCAAATTGAAGTTTGTATTTAAACTGATTCATTAACATTGCCTAGGGTGTATGTAGTTTTAAAAGAGATGAATATGTTGTTTATATCCCTACATGTATGTCTGCTGCATTGTTGATGAAAGCAGATCCTTAACAGTAGGAGCACTTTGAACATTGAACTTCCCTTTTCTTTTTGAAACTTGCAGTCCTTTGTTTTTGCTTTTGAGCATGTTGGCAGCAGAGCTGCTGTGCTGTTTTGTTTTATTTATTTGGTTTTCTTTAAGTTCTGTTCCTGCTGTACATGTGCTGTAATTTGTGTTTGGCTTGGATTTAAAACCTGTTTGGATTACTGTTGGGAGTTTGTCAAGATTCAGTGTTGGTTTGCTTGTTAGTACATGTTTGAAATCAGGATTCATTTGCAAATTGAATGGTGTGCACAATGTTGTCTTAGGCTTAGATGTTAGCTTTTGTTTGGATTTGAGTTTTGTTGTGGATTACCCCTATGATATGCAATTTGGTGATCATTGTTTGTTTCATTGAAAAGCTGGTTGTGTTCATTAAATTTAATCCATAAACGTTGATTCTCAAGCATAATTGGATCTTTATTTGTTCATATTTCTATCAGTCATAGCCTTTGATTTCCCTCCATGCATTTCAAGAACTCGTTTTGCATTTTCACTCATGTTTCATATTACAAGCATGGTTGGAAGATTTGAATGATGCTGTATTCCTCATTAAAAAATATGCGAAATAGACTTAAGGATTGTTCATTTTCGTGGAGTCTTGATATATTTTCATCAGCTTTTGCATTTGCCAATGTGTTGTTCTTATTTTTTTTGCCCAGCAATCTTTGAATGTTTACTATATATGTATTCGTTTCCACTTTGATCATTGGACGTATCACCGCCCCAGCGGTAAGGCCTTGCGTATTTGTTCCCCCATGTACCCGGTTCGAGTCCTGCTGTGGACAAAACCATCCTTTTTATTTCCATTTTCTTTTTTTTCCCCTACATTTTCTTTTCTTTGCTCTTGTATTTTTCTTTCTCTCCCATGTTATCAAGCGCATATGCGCCCCAGTGGTTGGGATTGTTTGCCCTGTGCCAAAGGGAGTGGGTTCAATCCCCACCTCTTGCTTTTTTTAAGTTTATTTAATTTATTCATTTGTTTCAACCATTTAATTTTCAGAATCCATAATTTTAGCATACTTATTTATTTTTGATCCATTTCTTTTCGCAAATTGCTCATAATAATAACCATTTTCATTTGATAAAACAACATTTCAAATTATTGATGATTTTTAAGACCCTTGACTTACTTGAAGGTTGACCTTCTATTAGGGTTCGCGCGCGCTGTATTTTGTAATATTTTCTCAAAAAATAACTGTTCTTGGTATTGAATTAAAATAAGAGGATTGGGTGTAGTCCCCTTCTTCTTCGAGTGTTGGGACGCCCACTGTAGTGAGGGTGGTCCCGACACTCGTCTTTCAATACAAAGACGCTTCTAAACTTTTCTCTCCTAAAAAACCTCGGTCCCGTACCGAGTCTATTTTCAAACTATCTTTCAATAAATCTTTTTTATTCGTTGTATTGAATTAAAGAGAGAGGATTGGGTGTAGACCTCTTCTTCTTCGAGTGTTAGGATGCCCACTGTAGTGAGGGTGGTTTCGACACTCGTCTTTCAATACAAAGACGCTTCCAACATTTCCTCATAAAACCTCGGTCTCGTACTGAGTATACTTTCGGTAATAAATCGATTTCTCTTTATATCGAATTAAGAAGAGAAGATTGGGTGTAGACCTCTTCTTCTTCGAGTGTTGGGATGCCCACTGTAGTGAGGGTGGTCTCGATACTCGTCTTTCGATACGAAGACGTAACTCTATCCATCACATATCTCTTTATCCACTATCTCATTTTTACAACTTCATCCCGCAACCCTTGTCACCTAAAAACCTCGGTCCCGCACCGAGTGTATTTCAAATTATTTTCATAACAAAAACTTGAATGGTCGTGGAGTGGTTAGGCGTAGGCCTTCTCCTATCCCGAGTGCTGACGTTTACCGTAGGGTTCTCTGTCGCAAAGCACTTACCATTCAAAACCAAAAACATCTTTAATAAGAGAATGAAGTTCTCTTTGCATTGAATTAAAGAGAGAGGATTGGGTGTAGACCTCTTCTTCTCCGAGCGTAGGGATGCCCACTGTAGTGAGGGTGGTTTCGACGCTCGTCTTTCAATACGAAGACGCCTCGTTCGCCACACCCTTTTATAACAAAAACTTTGAGATAAAGAATTGGGTACTACCCGTAAGGGGTTACTATCCGAGGACATGTCTCGCCCCCTAAAAAACAATCCAATCAATCAAATGTGACTTCTTGCCCCGAGTGGCGAAAACCTAATCAATCTTTCAAAAAGGATATGTTACGTCCGTTCTACCGCAAACAGGTAACGCCTAAGTCTCCAACGAGCGAGCAGCAAAACACCTAACTGCTAGAATGCGCACGATAGCATCATCCATAAAAAAACATCAACACACCGTAGGCCGAACTACGGCTGCTCTGATTTCTCATACCAGATGAGAATACGTAGGCACAAGGGCCACAATCCTTGGCGAGCACATTCCCCCCCCTATATCTGTAGTTCCCCGAACTACGTCGACTCTGACTTTCTCACACCTATTGAGAATACGTAGGCCTAGGACCGCGAAGTCCTACCGAGTCTGTTCTTTCTCTTTTCTTCCCCGTTCTCTCTTTCCTCCTAACTTTCTTGTTTCTAACCCTTCTTTTACCCAGTGAAACACTCTTCTTATAACATAATATTTAAGCAAATATATTCACACATCGACAAACAAAAGGTTCCCATCGAGTACGATGGATGCGAGGGGTGCTAATACCTTCCCCTCGCATAACCGGCTTCCGAACCCGTTCATGGTTGCGAGACCATCTTATCCTTTATTTTCTTAAGGTTTTCTCGATATTTTCCTTTCCCCTCATGGGATAAATAAAGTTCGGTGGCGACTCTTCTGTCTATCTTTTTCGCCTCCCCGTCGTTGCACGATGCATTTTTCGAGTAGCGACAGTCCCCAATGCATATTTTTCCATCTTTACAACTAGCTATATCATGTTACTGTGGAGTGATACTTTTACCACAGTTGTTTAAATGTGAAACTCTAAAAATTAGGCAGATGGCACTAGCCCTCAGTAGATAATCCCTCAGGAAAAAGTCAAATCATAGTTTTTATATATTTATGATTGTGCATTAGCTTAAAAAAATGACTGGAAAGGAGTAGCAATTGTAAGTAGTAAAAGACTAATTAATTTCTTGGATAGTTTTTATAATTGTTTGAAAGTAGACTGAAAATGACATTTCATCTTTTGTTGTAGCTTATAAGGGCGATACTAGAAAACAAAAGGGACAACAAAAGTGTACCTCATTTACGACAATGTGATAGCGGATGATATCCTACTAAAGGTAACTTACCTACTTAAGAAATCATGTCCATAGAGTAGTGGTTCCTTTCTTAATACTGCCACTAGCATAGGAATATAGTGCAAGTTAATTGAATTTGAAAAGTTAATTGTTTGGCTAGCTTGAATTCTGAGTAAAATATATGTTTGGTGATGCAGGAAGAACCTGATCACTTTGCAAACACATTTCCTCACAGATTCCATGTCTATCATGTTCTTAATAAGGTTAGCTGTTCCATGACAGTAGCTCATCATTGCCCTTATTCTGCAGTCCATTTCTATACCTATGAATGCTACAAGAATGTAAGCATTCATATTCTGCAGTCAATTTGTGCTATCCATAAGTTCAATTTGTGCTCTATCCATATGTGTGTGTAGTTCATAATTTTTTGCTTATGTTCTTTATGTTCGAATCAATCTTATCGTCATTTTGTTTCTCCTCGCCTATCTCAACAAATCAAGATTGTTCGAGCAGCGTGAAATATATAGACTTATAGGAAAATCATATATCATGCATAAATGTTTGTGTCTAGGTCCTTACTCTTATGTTGTTGTGTATTTTATTTGCTTGTCAAGTTTATTCAATACACAAAAGAAAGAACTTCTCAGTGATCAGAATTGAATGAAGAATGAGTTTTATGTATATCCTGTGAGTTCATGAAAAAATTGTTTTGTAAACTTTTTTCTATCTTCCTAGTTTTCTTGTTTTCTGTAATTTGGCCTGATAACATGAATGAATGATGCTTAACCGGTACAGAAAATATGGAAGCTTTGATATAATTGTAGATAATTTTGTAAAGAAAGGATCTTGGTAGCACTTGGCATCACTTGGTAATGGTATCTATTGTGTTAGTTATTAATTGATCGTTAAGGTTTTGTCATAAACCAGTTCTATTGAATGTATTTATGTGCCTTTCACTTATTACTTTGTTGTTTTGAATTTTAAGATTTTGTATAGATTTGTCCTGATGTGTTGTTAAGTGCGACTACATTAATTTTCCCCCTGCTGATCATTTATGATCACGAGTTGGTTTCCATCTTGATTTATAATGTTTTTCTTTACCACAGCTGGTTCTATTAAGGAGTGGAAACCAAAGCCAACACATGCAATTAACCAGGCTTCCGGACCAGCTACCGTATCCGAGTCTTCCGTCGTTTCAGCTGAAGCTACGATACAGTTGCCGCCTGTGTCTAAGGTCCTTGATTCTGAGGAAGCTGCTTCTAAACTGCAGAAGAAGCTTGAGAATTTACGCGTTCCACTGCGTCAACATGTCATTCTTCCAAACCATATTTTGGTTCCTGAATCTGAAAAGAGCAAGTTTAGCTTTGGGAGCCTGGGAATCAATTTTGGGGTTACTACAAATTATGTTACCAGCCCAGAGACCCATAGAGTTTATGAGTTTTGCTTCCGTTGACGAGCCTTTTTCCAAGGTAGCATTTTTCATAGCACCAATATTTCTGTGTCTAACACTGACACACGACACTGGCGTATATCCCAATAGTGTTCAGAGTGTCAGTGTTAGTATCGTGTCTGGTATTAGAGATAATGTTGTTTGGAAATGCAGGTAGCTTTTTGTTGACAAGTTTATTAAATGGAAAAGTGTTTATGGAATGGATATATCCAACTGTTGCACAAGCTTATGTAAGTTTTAGTACTAAATGTTGAATTACAATATTAGTCATGGCTTATATTTGGTAAAAAAAGAGTTAAAATGTTTTCAGATAAATTCAGTAGAAGAACATATGGAGGAATGGTTTCAGATATTTATGACACCATGAGAGTAACAGGGATGTCACAAACTTAAATTATCAAACTTCCATTTCATAAATTCAGCTCCTCCAACAAAATGATGAAATTATACAATGATTCATGCTGCTCCATTTGCTTCTAGGTCAGAAACAAAATCTCTTTATTTTTCAAAAAAGTTTATTTAAATTATTGATATATTATTTAGAGACTTTAGAAGTTTTGATATTTTACATAAACTTGATTTTGCAGGATTTAGAGGATGGAGAATTGGTGAGAATACTTCCAAAATGTAGTCACCTTTATCATTTAGAATGCATTGACAAGTGGCTACAACAAGGATCGTGTCTTATTTGTAGAACTTACATTCTTCAATAGTTTTGTATTTCTTGTCAAATCTCTTTTTTGTGTGTTCCAAGAGAGTAGCTATAATTGCAAGCTTTAACTTTATTGTATGATCGCGTAAACTCTGTTTTTGACCACATGAAATTATCTTTGAGTTTGCCTGCGGATTTTTAGTTTGCTGCGACATTTCCTGCGAAAATTTCACTTACCTGCGTTGTTATCTGCGAATTTATCTATTTTACCTGCGATTTTTTCCTATGACATTTTCCTGCGACTTCACCTGCTATATTAATTACACACGAAGGTTTTAGCTGAGAACAGAAAATAGCAGGAAGAATCGCAGGTAACACGTTTCCTTGTCAAAATCCGCAAGAAAACAGAGTATTTCTAATAGTGACATCCTTTGAGTGATCTCTTCCTATAGAAGTATTATTGTGCATATAGGATTTTGCATCTTTAACTTGTGAAGTCTAATCAACTCAATTACTAGTTTCAAGATTTTTATATGGCTTTTTCTCAACTTACTTCTCCTTTCAATGACAAGAAGTAAGCTATATATGTTGCTCACAATTCAACTTTCTATAAAATAAGCAAACACATTGAATTGCATTTGTTACATTTTTCTTCAAGCGATCAACTAGTTGAGGTGTTTACAAAACCCCTTTATTCTCCTCTTTTATATACTCTACTCTCCAAGTTAGCTTCATGTGAGATCCATACCCCAACTTTGAGGGATACTATCAACATAATAATACAGTTAGCAGTTTTTTATTTCTATTAGACTACTTAATTAATTATGTTTATAGTTATAATCACATAATGGGACTATAGGCATATATTGGTTTAAATAGGTTTTTCATCCAATAAATTCGCATGTTTTTAATTTTAGTCTCTAAATGTTTTTTGAAAATAGTTCTTGAATTTTAAAATCGTTTTGATTTTAGTTCCTACAGTAAAAGTCTGTAAAATTTTTTGAAGGAAAATCCACAAAAGGCTGCAGTTTTTAAAGCCGCATGAAAAATTCGAAGGCAAATCTGCAGATTTTCTTGCGGATTTTAATTTTAAGAACTAAAGCATAAAATTTAACATTTAGAAATCATTTTTAAAAACAAAATTATGAACTAAAAACCAAAACACACGTCAATTCGTCAATTTATAACTTAAGTTATATATTTCATTTGTACTTTTTGACTTTTCATATGTACAAAATTCACTTTTCTGTTTTACAATGAGAAGTTTCCTCAATTGAGTGATTCAATGATTGTCCAAATCTTCAAAATTTTCTGAATGAGTTTGAATTTGTTTATGTAATGCTATACCTTGTTTGTTTGCTCCATTTTATTTTACCTTGTGCCTTAATCAATTACTCATTTGCTGGTTAAATAAAAGTTTTACAGTAGTAACAAGTTTCAATAAAGAATACTCACACAAATCAATGAATTACAATCTCAATGTCAAGAATCCATCATGTTTAAATAAATTTCCCATCCAAAAGAAGAAAGAAAAAGGTTCACTCTCTGCCTAAAGTTAAGTAGCCTCAACTCTCAATTTAAAAAGAAAGCAATCAATGAAAAACAACCCATCAACCATGGATTACAAAAAGAGGAAAATGTTTGAAACAAATATAAACAAAATAGAATTGAAGTTAACACTTGGGAAGATCAGCTGGTGGTGGAAGCACCTTCTGATTTGGAAGCTTTCCATCCAAAACAATCCATGCCATCTTAAGACCCCAACTTGTGTGGATTTCCAAGTGACAATGCATAAACCATGCCCCTACACACACAAATCAAATTATTCAATGCTTTCTTATATATCACCATTTATGAAAATAATGCAAAACATTTTTTTATAGTAACACTCGAGTTTCTGATGTTCGGCTTTATAATAAGTAAAGTCTGATCAATGATTATTTCAATAAAAGATCGAACTCGGATGTTTTTGCATGACTCGACGACCCTAATTGAACTTCATTGGTCACTAAACTTAATCCATTCGGCGATGCAAAATATTAAATCGAATGTAAATTTTAATAGTAGTTAATAATATGAATAAATTATGAACTGACCTGGATTATCTGCTAGGAATCTGATAGCAACCCAACCACCAGATGGAACACCAACTGTATTCCTTTCAACAGGATCAACAAGATTAAAATTTTGTGGATCCTTATTCGAATCATAGTTGCCGAATCCTTGTCCAACAACAAAGAAGTTAAATCCATGCAAATGTAGAGGGTGACTTTCCACACCAAGAATACTAGTATCTTGCAATACAAGCTCCATACTTGTGTTAAAAGGAAGAACCACAACCTTTGTTCCATTCCCTACCATAGTGTTATTCGGTGGCGTTCCAGTATAGTTAAATGGATTCAAAGGTTTAGTTGGAAAATCAGGAGTGTAAACTCCATTAGATTGTCCAAAGTAATGAGCTTGAAGAAGTGCAGTGGTTGGCATTGTGTAAGAAACATTGTTCACTGATGCTGCAAACATTGTTCCATTGGGACCTTGACATGTTTGGTTTGTGTTACAAGGATTAGTACCTAGGCCTACTGTGAAGAAAAAGTGCTTATCAACTTTTTGTGGAACATTAGCTGGAAACTGAGCATTTGATAAGCTATGAAGTTTGTTGGAGAAATTAGTTGCAAAAGAAGTGTCATTAAGTTGTGGAAGAATAGGTTTGAAAAGTGGAAGATTTTTTAGTGAATAATTTGAATTGTTAGTGCTAAATGGAGTTTCATATTCTATGATTCCGGCAACGGTGGAATTATCGAAAGTTCCTAAGCCAGTTGCATATGGTCTTGCAAGCATTAAGAATGTTGCATTTGGAAAATATGGTTTTGTTTTGAGAAGAACATTTGTGGTTTGGCCAGGTGCAATTAGGATCGTGTCGGTTTCAAAGGGTTTTACATAACTTGCATCTGCTTCAACAACCGTCAAAGTATGATTTGCAATGCTGAAGAATAGTTCATCATTTAGTGCAGCGTTGACGAAACGGAGAAGGTAAGTCTTTCCAGGTTTCACCTTCAACTTAAATGTATCTGTAGAGAATTACATCTAGTATTAGCATGTTTGGTTAAACCGACGAATTAAGTGGTCAACACATAAGTGCTTCTTACCTTTAGCAGAACAATTATAAAGCGGTCCGGGAAGTCCATTAATGGTGTATGCATCAGAAACATTTGGTCCTCCACCAGTTTGAAGGGCTTGTGCAATGATTGCTTCAGTATCTCCATTAAACCATTCCCCTTAAACCATAATTAATTTTTAATTAGCATATAGTATGAATTAAAATATTTATGTAGCTGATTAAGTAATTGCATTTCATTACCGAATAGGATTGGAACTTCCTTGTGAGGTTTTGCAAAAGGATACTGTACATTTTTCTTGGGAAGAATAATGAGAGGACCATAGAGTGTTGATCTTAACCAAGATATATGAGCATGCCAAAAGAGTGTTCCTCTTTGGCCTTTAATTGTGTAAATGTAAACATAGCTTTGACCTGTTTGGATTGGACATTGTGTCACATATGCTGGCCCATCTGCCCATCCTGATTGAAGCTGTCTAATTCCATGCCTATTTCAATAATACCAAACTTTCTTTTTCATTATTTGTGACAAATTATTTACTAATCTATTTTCAATTACTTTCAATTTAATGTTGTTTACCAGTGAATGGTGATGTTGTTTTGTACATGGTTAACCACTTTGATGACAAGTCGATCGCCTTCTCTAGCGACAATACGAGGCCCCGGAAACTTGCCATTCACTGTCACAATGCTCTTTTTGTGACACAATCTAGTCACATTTTGAAGCCTTATCTGCAATAATATATAACAAAACTAAAATCAAGACATAAAAGGAAATTAATAGAAAATTAATGGTAGAGAGTATTTTTGAGGAAGTACATCAAAATGATAGTGTCTGGTTGTGCTAGCAAGTGCAGCTTCAAATAAACAAATGCCAATCAATAAAAAAAATATCACTTGGATTTTAAGTGATAAAAATATGGAAACACCCATTTTGGTATTGAAACTTTTTGAGACTTTGAATTTGAATGTTTGTTGATGCTATGTTGAAAAAATGTTGGTCTATAAATAGTTGCATGATTAGGTGACTAAAATATAAGATGAACTCAATATTGTTGTCATTGAACTGTAATAGTAGTTAGAACTACTTTAGAGTGGTGTCAAAGACATCCAATTTCATTTTAACTCCTTCTTGTGCAAGTTAAAATTGTTTAATAATTTTTTAATTATTGTGGGTATTATTGCTGCAAATCTCTTTCATTGTATGTTTCATATACTTGTTGTGTATGAAAGGTTTCATCTAATTGGAACTCTGGGGAAGATTGAGAGTACATCATTGGTCAAATGTAACTCTCTCAACCACTGTTCTTCTTGTTGCAAAAGTAAGAGGGATCTGTCCAATTAATATGTCACTTCAATATAATTTGTACCATATTTTTGTATGAAATAGAATTCAAATGCACCTGAATCGACATTTTCACCTAGCTAGACATAATGATTGTGTGGAAAGAAAAAACAATAGATGATGATTTAAATTATGTACATGGTTAAGTGGTCATGTGTACTTGTTAGTTTGCTTAGATATGGTGTTAGTTAGGTGATTGGTTAAATCTATATTCAATTATTTCTCATAATTTAAATATTAACATGTATTATTTAGTGCTACATTATTATTTCACAATCATTCTAGAGAAAATTTGAAAACAGTAAAATCCAACTAAGATCAAAATCGAAGGTATAACATAGTTAATATGCATATTCGTCATTGACTTATTTTGGAGATGTATTATTTGAAGGTTTATAGTGTTAGACTTTTATCGTTTGGATCGTCAAAATATATTTTGAGAAGGGGGATATTGGATTCACACAAAAACATGTTTTTTTGGAGATATTTTGTTTGGGTTTGAAAAAAAATCTAATTGGCATGAGCTTCTACAGTGTCGGCCACCGGCTTGGAGACCTTTTATGGTCGGTTATTCTTCTTCGAATAACTCTTCTAATTCCATCCTAACCCCAAGCATAAAAAGAAGTCATTTGCAAAAACTCTTCAAAATGTCTGTGACATGCAAACTTTTAATTTTGTCAAATCTTGTCTCATAGGTAACCGTCTCTCGATCAAGATATCTAAAGAAGTTTACGGAACAAGGTTACATGAATAATTTACATGGGAGATTGATCACTATTATTTGAAGGCATCATAATTATCTCAGCAACTCATGAAATTATGGAGTCCATTCACAAATTGGAATTTATCTCCTTTGGGACGTAGCTATTTTAAATTTTCATTCAAATCAATGGATGATCTCAATAAAGTTTGGAGTGTAGAGACATTGAATGTTCATCCCTCGCTCCTTTGTTTGTCTACGTGGATGTCAAATCTTAGACTTGAAAATTTGAAGATTACACGTGCTTAAGTGTGTTTGAGGATGAAAAGTATGCCGTTATTCAAAACCAAATACTTTATTTGCAATTACTTCTGGTATAGACACTCTTTTATCAATTGATGAGCTTACAAGAAAAAGAATGTTGGGGAATTTTGCGCGTATGGAGATAGATCTTAACATGTCAGGTGTTCTCCATTATCGTATTTTGGTAGAATGGGAAGTTTATGTGTTCTTTGTTGAATTGAAATACGAGAGAAGTATGAAACCTTGATACTATGCTGACTATTAAATATCTTTGTGATCAACAAAAGCATTGCTTTTGATTGTTGAACCAATGATTCCTTATACTTATTTCCCTACTGAGTTTCCTAAATAAATCATACTTAAGAGATTTGTACTAAGTTTTAGACAAAAGCATGATTCAAACCTATGAACTTTTTGTGAAACATATATGAATCCATATGTGTTGAGTTTGTCTGAACAACATGTAACTTTTTCTATAGAAGTAGATATAACGAAATTCTTCATTGCATTACTATATTCAAGTAACTCCAATGTGATTCAAAGACAGTTATTGAATGAAATTACTAATCTTTAAAAATTTAAATCATGGCCCATTGTGGATGATATGTGATTTAAATGCAGTTATTTGTTTCCATGAGAAATTGGGTAGATGTCATGCAAACAAAACTTCCACTGATGAGTTTCTTAGTTGCACAAATAAGATGAGCTTATGCATCTTGACACTAATGGTAGAAATTACACTTGGGACAATGGGAGGAAATGTGGTGTTTACTCTTTTTTTAGGCTTGACATAACCATTTATAACTAGAATTGGATATATAGTTAGAACACGATAAATTGCTCTACTTTGATCAAGAATCACTCACACTATTACTCTATTGTCACACCCTAATTTTTAACCCTAAGATCCCACCTCTTTGTGCATCATTTCGCATAACATCTTTAGGTCATACGATCTTGTGTGCATATTCATTGTGACTAACAAGCTTGTGTAGGCGCATTAAATTTAAGTGGAGATGGTATTCACCTGTATGATCCAACATATCAGGGCATAATCAATTAATGATAGGCCTAGTGTTTCGAATAGATTTTGGGCTATGATTTCCCAAGTGTTATCAAGACGACTTTGGGGCTAATACTTTGTGTCGAGGACTATGTAAAAAATTGTTTCAAAGTATAGATGGCTCATTGGGCCATTCTCCATGTGGTTTTAAATCAGTGCAAGATCAATTCCTCTAGTAAACGCCATTTCTCAAGAATATCATTCAAGGTCATTCAATCTAAATTCATCTATTTGAAAATATTCAAGTACAAGCAATATGTCGAAGTAAAGATGTCTTTCAACACCCTTTCAAATGTGATGAAAGGTCTAATATAGAATTCAGACCAAGGGATCAATTTTCTCGAGATATAGTTAATTGATTCAAGATGGCTTCAAGTTTTATTCATGGTTTACTCATACTCTAAATTTGCAAATTTGCAAATTATGATCATTCATTAACAAGCCATTCAAGTTACAAGAGTAAGAAGATTCTCGTGAGATTTTTAAATTATGATCCGTATCCAAAGTTCAAGTTCAAGTTATCATTTTGAGATTCAAATTCCTCCATGGAAAATTACATCATTTAAGAAAATGAATTCCAAGTCCAATACAATTCCAATCTTGAGAAAATCAATGGCAAGGCGGATGATCTTTTCAATTAGTAGAACTACTATTATCATTGGCATGAATTGAGTAAGATAGGACTCGACATACTACAAGGGTCACAAGATAATGTGCATTTATGGTTTTAAGTTGTAACACTTTACATAAAACAAGATGCAAATATTGAACCATGATAGAGAATGGAAATGGAGAATGGTTATATAAATATGGTTTGAGTCTCTATCTAGAGAGAACAAATTACTTCAGTATGGTACCATTAGTGATTGCCATGAACACCGATCTAGCTACAAGTAGAAACTATGTAAAGCTTGGTACCATATCATTCAAATTACAGCAGAAGCATTCAAAAATAATAAATTGAACATTAATCTAGCTACGGACATAAATCATGCAAAGCTTGGCACCGTATCATAGAATAAGCTTTCTTAACATTATCATGTAAAAATCTGATCAAACTTGATTGATCATTAAATTTGACATTCAAGGAATAGAACCCAAGTAAATTACAAGCTATGCTAACAATTCAACAGTATGATTACAAAAGGTTTCAAGCAAAAATAGACAGAATTCAAGGAAAAGAATTAGAGTAAATTTACTTTGTTGCAATATTTGAATCTGGATGAGCAATAACTCCTGCTACCTTTCTCATGACCCACCAGCTTAGTTAAAACAAAATCACCAAGCTTAATATTGAAACATGAATCTGGCATAATGTGTTGTAAAATATTTCACTGATGGAATTAAAAGTACTGCTTACTATGTTGCAACTACATGCTTAAAATAAGAGAGAATAGAAAACCTAATGGGTTTTGACTAATGGGCCTCATTACTAATACTACTAATTACTATTTACAGTCTAATATTTACAACACTCCCCCTCAAGCTGGTGAATGGATATCTATCATTCCCAGCTTGCAAGTAAGTTGCCTGAATCTTTCTGTTGGTAAGCCTTTTGTTAACACATCTGCGAGCTGATGCCCAGAAGGAACGTAAGATGTAGTTATCAGCCCACTATCCAACTTCTCTTTGATAAAATGAGGGTCAATCTCAATATGTTTAGTCCTGTCATGCTGAACAGGATTATGAGCAATACTAATAGCTGATTTATTGTCACAAAACAATTCCATAGGGCCTTCACGCTGTATCTTCAAGTCTTCTAGAACTTGTTTCATCCATAATAGTTCACAAATTCCTAGTGCCATAGCTCTAAATTCTGCCTCGGCGCTTGATCGAGCAACTACACTTGGCTTCTTACTCTTCCAAGCTACAAGGTTACCACACAGAAAAGTACAATAGCCTGACGTAGATCTTCTGTCACTCACTGAGCCGGCATAATCCGCACCAGTGTAAGTCTTCATAGCTAAATTTTCACCTATTTTAAACAAAAGTCCTCTCCCTGGAGTTGCTTTAAGATATTGTAGAACGCGGTCAACAGCCTGCAAATGTCTCACCCTCGGATCATGCATGAATTGGCTCACCACACTGACTGCATATGCTAAATCTGGTCTAGTGTGTGCCAAGTAAATCAATTTTCCCACTAATCTCTGATATTGACCCTTATCAACTTTGTCACTTTCCTCCTCAAAGCTTATCTTGTGATTTTGTTCAATGGGAACACTTGCAGGTTTGCATCCAAGTTTGCCAGTTTCCTGCAAAAGATCAAGTACATACTTCCTTTGAGATATGGTTTCAGAGCTCCTGTTTTTTTGGGGGTCTCGCTTCCGCATAAACCCTAGCCGCCGTTGTAACGGAGTTTTTTTCTTTCTTTCAGTGCCCATCATCCTTGCAGTTTTTTTTGGGTGTTTGGATCATTGTTGTTCTGTGTTGCAGCACATTCTATTTTTTGGCTTTGCTTCACATCTCTCACTGTTCACTCATCTTTGCAACCCTACACTGTTTTTTGGTGATATTTTGTGTTT